TGAGCCCCAGTCCTGCAGGCTGTGTTGGGTGAGGTCAGGGCTGCACCTCAGCGCTGGGTGAGAGGTTTAGTGGGGATCTGTGGAGTGCAATAAATACTTCTGTTCCTACTGATGAGGGAGTCGAGCAACTTGGGGAAGGGCCAAGCAGAGGGACGCCAGCACCAGGCTTCTGTTGTGTTACATTCAGTCTTCTTGACACTGGTTCTTATTTTGCTGCAGTTGGGTACGGTGTTACCAGTGATCAAAACTGTTCTTGTTTCTTTTCTCTGTATTCCTAAAGCAGTGTTGTGTCAATAACTGTGAACTCAGTTCTTGCAGCACAGATCTGCTTTAGGATTTTGGTTGTTCAGTTATTCCAACACGGGTTTTGCATGTAACTTCTTAACATTCTCTTCCTAGGATCCCTATTTTATGAAAAATCACTTGGGTTCTTATGAATGCAAGCTTTGCCTGACGCTCCATAACAATGAGGTGAGTTGAGCAGCTGTCTGTCTTGATCTCCATGGCAACAGATATTTTAGAATAATGCCAGCTCCAAGTGCTGGAACCAAAGCTGTTCTCGTTGGCTGATTGCTGGAGGGGTGATGGGGGGAGCAGAGGCTGTGGATGTTAAGCATGACAAGTTTCTGACAGTTCAGCAGTTGTGAGCAATCTGCAATTTTTGAGTTCAATTCCGCTGTGCTCTGAGGATTAAAATACCTTTGTCAATGTGAGATGTCACCTCTCATCCGTGACAAATATCTTTCTGTTCAGGAACAGCTCAGTCTTCGTCTGACTTTCTTTCTTTTCCCCCCAGGGAAGTTACTTAGCACACACCCAGGGGAAGAAGCATCAGACCAATCTGTAAGTTGTTCTCCACTGTAGTTATTCTCCATTACTTAGGCACTTCAAAATTAGATTGTGAGCACCTATAAAACCTGACCTCCATCATGTAGCAGCACTCTGGGCTTGAATGTTCTTTGTCTCTGTTTCCTAGGCACTCACCAGCAGGTGTGAACTAGCTGTGCTCTGAACAGCAGTGCTGACAAGCTCCAGTTCAAAGCCAGTTATGGCATTTCTGAGGGAAGGGAGCAAAAGAGTTTTAAAGGAGATTAAATCTAGCTGTAAAGGAAGCTTCTTTGTGAATACAGCTTGAGAAAAGTTCGTAAGCTTTAGTCTAAGAATTCAGGTTTGCTCTGCTGTAGTCATCTGGCTTGTGGAATTAATTTCCTTTCTGACTTCTAAGAAGTCATCTGTGGAGGTGGGCACCACTCTTAGAGGTGGGTGAGATGGTGGAGGTGACAGCCTGCAGTCAGGGCAAGGCCTGGAGAAAACTGGCCTCCCGTGGTGCTGGAGGAGGAGGAGGAGCAGCAGTTTCCCATTGTGCTCCCTGTGAAGTGCAAAACGCTGCCATGCTGATGCAGCTGCCTTTCAGCCACCCTTGGGAGCCGAGTGCTGGTAACTGTTTAACGTTGCACATTTCCAATGAATCCAGGGCCCGTCGAGCTGCCAAGGAAGCAAAGGAAGCCCCTGCCCAACCTGCACCAGAAAAAGTCAAAGTGGAAGTGAAGAAGTTTGTGAAAATTGGACGGCCGGGTTACAAAGGTTTGTCAGCAGGGCCTGTGGCAGCAGATGCCCTGTGGCTGCTGGAGCTTGCTTGAAGTGCAGAGCTGTGGGCATGAATTGTTCATCAGCTTTTTTAGCAGAGCTGTCCATAAATAAGATAAGGGCTTGTCTCCTGATGTCCTTTATTGTTTGAATTGCCCATGGGATGTGTCTCTGTTGCTGACAGTCAAGTGGGAGCCATTTTAATAATAGATCAGTAGGGCTCAGTCTGTCAGCTCTCACAGTGGTCACAGGGGAGATGATGGCATCGCTTCAGTCTCTTTTCCTTCTGTTGTGCTCTGCCATCTCTCACTATTGCTCACAAGTCACCCACTGGATGTGTTGCTCAGTTTTTTCTCTCTGAACTCCTCGCTGTTTGATTTTGGCCTTCACTACAAGGCACGGCTGCTGTATCTCCCAGCTGTGCTCTGCAGTGCACAGTGTGTCAGTGTCTGTGCCCCACAGCAGCTGCATTTCAGCAGACACCCACAGGAACATTGTGGCATTTTATTTGATAAATGGGAAATAAAGTCCTGTCATATTTTGTTGTTTGGAGCTTCCTAGGGCAGAAGGAATATTGTGCTGACCTTTATGTCATGTACTAAGCTTTCTTCTTTTCTTTACAGTGACCAAACAGAGAGATCCAGAGACAGGCCAGCAGAGCCTTCTCTTCCAGGTAAGGTCAAATTCTTGGTTTCTGGGTTATCCAAGTAAAAGCTTGGCTAAAAGAGCAGTTCTTTGCAAGACTCATGAGGTAATAATAAAATAGAAACAAAAAGGGCTTATCTTGCTACTTTGCTGCTGATGACTGTGTCAGCTAAATGGAAGAATCCATGATCGTAATTGTTGAGCTGTTTTCTTTGGCACCAGCAAGCTTTCAGTTGGGAGCTCCTCTTCTTCAGCTGTTCTTCCGTAGCTGAGGGGTTCCTCCTGCATGAGGGAGGAGTGCATAAGGGGGGCATTGTGAATCTGCCATAATCCCCCCGCAGATCGATTACCCGGAGATTGCAGAAAGCATCATGCCTCGCCATCGGTTCATGTCGGCGTACGAGCAAAGGATTGAGCCCCCTGATCGGCGCTGGCAGTACCTCCTGATGGCAGCAGAGCCCTACGAAACCATCGCCTTCAAGGTAACGTTTGGGGCTGACTGATGACTGCCAGAGCTCCCATATTTTCCAGGACATTAGTTCCCAGTGATGGCCGTCACAGACTTGCTCTGTTCTAGCCTTTTTTGGGGTTAATGGCCTGGAAAGGAAGGTCAGGAAGACGTGGCTGGAAGTTGTTAAACTCTGCTGAGAATGACTGGAGGACTCTGGCATGAAAACCAGGCTCTGCGTTGAGCTTTGGGAGGCGTTGAATTCTCAGTGTCTGGCGCAGAAAGGATCCTCCTGGGCTCTGCTCTCAGCCTTTGTGCAGATGTTGAGAGGGGTTTTTTCTGCCTGTCCTTGACCGATAGGGAAGTAACTCAATTCTTTGCTGCCCCCACCTCTATCTAATAACATCCGAGACGAGCGCATCTCACAAAGGCCTGGAATAACTGCTTATCTGGCGGGCTGTGGTGCTAGAAAGGGCCACGGAGCTCATCTGGTGCTGCTAATAATAGCTCCCTGTTCTTCTTTGTTGCAGGTGCCAAGCAGAGAAATCGACAAAGCGGAGGGAAAGTTTTGGACCCACTGGAACAGGGAAACCAAACAGGTAGCTGGAGCGTGGCAGCATCCTAAGGGTTGAAGGGGGAGGGGGGGAGGGCAGAGCCTGGGGGAAAAGGCATTGGAGTCGCATCCAGTTGGGCTCTGGCGCTAAAGTCGCTGACGTGTGATGGCACAAAGTTGTCCTGAGAGCTGATGGTTTCCTTCTCTTCGCTCTTCTCCCTCTCCCCAGTTCTTCCTTCAATTCCACTTCAAAATGGAGAAGCCCCCAGCTCCCCCCAACCTTCCTCCTGGCCCTCCGACCGTGAAGCGGCCTCCTCCACCTCCGCTGATGAACGGGTTGCCCCCCAGGCCCCCTCTGCCAGACTCAATGCCTCCACCTCCTCCGGGAGGGATGACTTTGCCCCCCATGCCACCCTCTGGACCAGTGCCGCCTCCTCCAGTGCCACCTCAGCTGCCACCGGCGCCCGGCGTCCCTCCTCCTGCTCCTCTGCCACCCATGATGAGACCCCCTCTCCCCACGGAGGGGCCTGGCACTATTCCCCCTCCGCCTCCCTCCAACTGAAGCCTCTCCATCCCACTGGACTCGTCTGGCTCATAGCTTTTTATATGCAGGTCACAACCGATTGGGGTAAAATAGTCTTGTTTTGTATGCCAGTGATTTTGACTAGATCCTGTAGATCCATTAAAAGGTTTTCACTTTTGCTTTCTCTCTTTCTTCCCGTGTAATTGGTTGAAATCTTGTTACGTGGTCGATTTGTTTTGTCCTTCAGCGTGTCAAACATTCCCCATCTGATTATGTTAGCAGAATGATCCAAAGAGGACACAGAAGATAGGAGCTCCCCTGACGCCTCAGTCAGCTGCCGGAGCTGCGTTTGCCCATCCTGACCTCGCGTGTATCCCATAATGACCAATGAATCAGTTGCTATTCAGCTAAAGTCCTTTAACCGAGTTGGCTGGCCGTGGGCACGCAGAAGGGAGTCGTGTTTTTGGCAGAATGATGGGGAGCACAGTGCCCTACGTGTGCAGCTCTCTGTCTTCCTGCTCGATTGCATTCACAGTCAGAACCTCCCTCGTGCTGCACTCACAAACCTTGGTTTTCCTCCCAGCACTGAGCTCTGTGCAGCAGCTCGGATGGCAGCCAGAAGCACAGAAATCTGCTTTCTCTTTGAAGGGAATCACTTCATGCTGCTTCTCAAGAGCCCTTGAAAAGCACGGGGTGAGCTTTCAGTGGCAGCACAGAAAAAAAATCCTCCCACCCTGCTGCTCTCTGGGCTGTCGATGCCCAACATTTGGCCTCCACGCCTGAAACAACTGGGCTGAGCCTCCTGCATGCAGGCCGTGTTTGGGAGCCCTTTGGGTCTGTGTGCTGGGGCTGTATGCTGAGCTTCGCCCTGCACGAGTCCTGGGAACGCAGAACAAGGCTCTGCTCGTGCACCAGGGCCTTGCACGCGTACATTGGCACCTGTTAGGGGCTGTTCTGCAGGCGTTGTGAGGCTGGAGACGTGCACAGCCTCTGTGCTCTGAGGGGGAGGCGCCCAGCGGAGGGAGCTTCGGGCATTTCCTTTTCCCAAATGTCTCCCCCTTATCTTCACCCTCTCCCCCAGGTGTGCACAGCCCGCTCCTCCCAGCGTCGCAGCCGACGGGGATGCTGTGCGCCAATCCCTGCGAAACCTCCGGCCCCGATTCCACCCTCCTCTCAAAACAACTCAAGGACACGCATCCCTACAACCAAAGGGAAACAGCTTTACAGTTTTGTTATTTTATTTTATTTTTTTTTTCTTTCTTTTCTTCAGTTTCCAATACTGGATGCTAAACCCAAAAATAGAACAGAAAAGTTCCTCTGACCCGGCCCTCCCTCCTTTGCAGCGGGGCAGCAGCCGTGTTTCGCAGGGGAGGTGTGTTGTGCCTTGGCCACTCAAGGCCACTGCTTTTAAAAGGGAGCCGTGGGTCCTGCTGCACACAGAGGTGCATCGGGCGGCTCGGCGGCTGCTCTGGGTGCAGTGGAACAAGGAGGATGAAGGCGATTCTCGGGGTGCTGCTTCCATACCTGGTGCTGCTGCTGCTCCGCTCCGCAGCTCTGCCGAGAAAAGGGAGCCATGGAGCAGAAGCTGTGCTGGGGCAGAGCCTCTCAGAGGAGGTGGAACTTGGAGCAAAGAAGGAAAATGTGAGCAGAGCGCGACCCGGCTCGGCGGTGAGACTGAAGATGGCTGCGGCTTCTCGCCTCCTCCCTGAGCCTGCAGCAAGCTGCACACAGGCCGACGGCTCCAGCTTGCAGCCCTGGCCCCTGGGGGGGCTGGAGGGCCCTGTGTGCCGCCTGAAGATGGACCGCAGTGAGGTCCACCCATCCCACGTCGAGGTGGTGGGGGTCCTCACCCGCTACGAAAGCACCTTCATCAAGGTGCTGCGCGCCGGCTGGAAGCACCGCAGCCCCGAGACCTTTGGGCTGTGCCGGGGTGGAGATGCACAAAGCGTGCTCCGAGCGCTGCAGCAGCTCCAGGAGCACCTGGCAGGGCCGGGGCTGCAGAGATTCCTTGTCCTGCATCTGGAGGAAGGTAGGAGCTGGAGGGTCGTGGTGTGGGGAAGGCCGGTGCTTTCAATGGGCCTGAGATGGAGGTGTGGGTGAAGAGTTGGATTTGCAGGTTGGGTTTGCTTTAAGATAAAGCTGTCCAATAGATCCGCTCCTCATGCGTGTCAGAAGCTTTCATAGCACTGAGAGCCTGCGTGCAATGAACACCCAGCGCCGCAAAATCAGCCGGTTCTGCTCTGCTCAGTTTGGTTCTGGAGCAGCAGCATTTCTCCCTTACTGTCCCAGTCATTGAAGTTTCATTCTATTCTGTCCAACTGGGAAAAAACCCAACAGTGGTGCTCAGGGGTTCCCCTCCAAATGGGCCGTGCTGCCCTCCATCACCTGAAGCACTCATAGTTTGCCACTGCTCTGAGTGATGTGAGGAGCAGCGCTCAGCCCCTGAGCTCCTTCCTCTCCCTTTGCACTGTTACGGCTGCATGCTTCACCCACCCTGTTCTCTCTTTGCAGTGAAATGGGAAGCACAGGCCAGGCTCTGGTTCAGGCTGCCGTTCCATGTGGAGGTGGGGCAGGTGCTGGGAGAGCTGCAGGTCGCTCTGCTGCTGTTCTACCCGGGCAGCCCCACAGGGAGAGGGGCTGAGGGCCACCAGGAGCTGCTGGTGGAGGGCATGGGGCTGACACAGGAGCAGGTGGGTGACCTTGGGAGGCAGGGGGAGAGGGGGGACCTTGGGTCTGCTTGCCCAGCAGCTTCCCATCTCCTTCCCTCCCCATCCCCTTCCAGCACTTATCCCATCCTATTCCTTTCCAGCATCTTTCCCATTTCCTTCTAGAGGTTTGCTCACCCCTTCCCTTCCCTTCCCTTCCCTTCCCTTCCCTTCCCTTCCCTTCCCTTCCCTTCCCTTCCCTTCCCTTCCCTTCCCTTCCCTTCCCACTCCTAAAGGTCTCTCTATCCCATCCTCTCCCTTTGTCTTCCCCACCCCATCCCAGTACTTTTCCCACACCCTCTCTCCCACTGGGGCAGTCCGGGCAGAGCAGTTCCTGAAGATGGTGCTGTTACCCTGTCCCCAAGCTGCTGCCAGGGACAAAGGAACAACACCGAGGGGTGCTCAGCCCGAACTGGAGGTGCTCATCCCATGCTCTGGGGGTGCTCAGCCCATACTGAGGATGCACAGCTGCCCCCATGCCCTGCTACCTTCCCTCCCTGTTCTCCCCAGCCTGAGACCAGTTCGAGAGCCTCCTAACTCCATACCTTGGGCTGGATCAGTCCCTGGGTGCTTGGGAAACAGGGACTGGTCTGTAGAGGGGTCTTGCTGACCCCCGTGATGCCTCCTGTGGGATCTCAGGGGCTCTTGTGCCTTTTGCTCCCCACAGAGCCTTTGCTTCACTAGGGATACCCAGTACCTGCTCCTCAGAGCCTCGGTGGCTGCTGTGACCAGCAGCAGCAAGGAGCTGAGCTTCCAGGTGTCCCTGACCATCAGGCACCGCGGGGATGGAGGTAGGTTTGGGGACAGCCCACGGGAACAGTGGTGCTGATGGCTGAGCGCTGGGGACCTGGCAGTGATGAGGGACTGGGGGGGTCCTGCAGCACTGTCCCCACTGTGTCCCCATCTCCAGGTGCTCCTCTGTCCCTCATGGAGACCCAGCAGCTCCTCTTTGGCTCGGATGAGAAGTGTTTCACCAGGATGACGCCGGTGCTGCTCCTGCTGGCTGGGTCAACACCTGAGGATGACGCTGCAGCCCCTTCCTCCTATCTCTCTGCCAGTGGGGTGGTGGATGTGGCTCCCTACCCACAGCTCAGGTCCGTGTGTGGAAAACCATGAGGGGAAAGGGGAAAAGGGCACTGTAGTCCCCCCTGTCCCGTCCCTTGGACCCTGGTTGGGAAGACGCATGGCACACCGAGGTGGTTTGGAGTGCTGTGTCCCAGTCCTTTACACCACTGCGTTCTGTGTTCTCCCCACAGCCCACCCCATCCCGGCACCGCAGAGCTGCTGCCCTCCACCACCGCCACCCCAGCCAACACCACATCCCCAACGGCAGGGGACAGCGGGCAGTTCCTGGGTGTGCTGACCCTCTTCATCCGCCGGGTGCTGAGCCCCCGCAGCGAGCCGCCCACCCAGCCCAGCTCCCAGCACTGGTTGGACTTCCAGATGATGGAGACGCTCCCGCACCAACTGCTCAACCTGTCGGAGACGGCCGCCCTGGAGCGCCTGGTGCAGTCAGAGGAGCCCTCGGTGCTGCTTTTCCCCCAGGAAGGCGGCGTGGGGCTGGAGCAGCATTTTGGGGACTGGCAGCCGGAGGGGACGGTGCTGCAGCTGCTGATGGGCAAACTGCAGGCTGTGATCCATGAGCTGAGGGACATCCCGGAATTCCAAGCCAACACGGGGCTCTTCCAGCACCTCCTGAGCTTCTGCTACCAACCTGCAGGGCCGGCTGCGGGCGGGCAGCCCCCAGGTTCAGGGAAGCTGCACGCATTGCTGCTGCTGAAGGCGCTGCAAACGGTGCGGGCGCGTTGGCAGGAGAGGAGGAAAGTCCTGCGGCAAAACCGCAGCGCGCGGCACCAGGCGCACTGCCGGCTGCAGGAGCTGACCATCGACCTGCGCGACCGCAACTTCATCGTCATGCCCACCGTCTACGCGGCCAACAACTGCGAGGGGCCCTGCAAGCTGCCCCTCTCCACCCGCGTGCCCGGCTACCACTCGCACACCGTGCTGCTGCTGGGCATGCAGGAGCGGGGCTCGCCGCTGCAGCGCGCTCCATGCTGCGTGCCCGTCCGTTACTCGGACCAGCTCATCATCAGCGTCTCGGCCGACGGGTTGGAGGTGCGCAAGTTCCCCAACATGGTGGCGGAGGAGTGCGGCTGTCGGTAGAGGTTCCCACCTGCAGCCCTCGTGCGGTGCTCCTGGCTGGGATGGGAGCATCCCTCCGAGCGCCTCTTCCTCCCGGTTTGCCTCCTAGTGTTGCTCTGGTTCTGTTTTTGTTCTGTGGGGTTGTGCTGCCCTACAGTGACCCATGGCTGCGCCCATCCCTGAGCCCTTGGGGGCAAAACCCCCGGTTCCACTCTGCTGTTCCATGGGTCCCGTCCCCACACTTGGCCATGGCAATGGCTGCGGTGCTGGGCTTGCTGCTGGGTGCTGCTGTGCTGCTCCCCGCTGTCACCGCTCCCCAGAGCACGGCAGATCCCATGACATGTCTTAACATTAATAGTGTTAATGACATCAGCACACAGAGCCCGGCTGCCCTGTGCCAGCTCCCAGCTGAGCTCCATGGAACCCCACCACCAGGCTGAGCCCCTGTGACAGGGGCACAGCCCCCCACCCCCTCCGTCTTTGCTCTGCGTTCTCTCTTCACAACACACAAACGTATCCAGAAACATGGTATATATATACATATATTTTAAGACATTTAATACCTTCTTAAAAATGAACATCGGTTTGTTTTAACCACTACTGCTTTAGCGAATACTCAAACCCGCTGCAGTTGGAGTCTCCTGCAGTTGCTGCAGCACTGTGTGGTGATGCTCGTGTGCTTTCTCCCTAAAAGCAGCTCTGCGGGGCAGGACCTGAGCTCTGGTTCTGAAGCTTTGGGCCTCCTGCACTGGGGCCACGTGTCCACGCTCCAAGGGCAGCCTGGCTTCCTTCACCCAGAATGCACTTCTCTCTTTGATTTGTTTTTTCAATAAAATCATTCACTGAATTAAAGAGCTACCAGGGCTGCAGACCCCTCTGTTTGCCGGGAGTGCATCCTTGCTCCTTAGGTGTCAGCATGGAAGACAATGAGCTGCTGCTGCAGCTGGGGATGGAGGGTGGCACGAAGCCCAGGGGGAGCAGAGCTCATTTCCATGCTCCCTATGGGCTGCCTTCATCCTGGGGAGTCCTAGAGTCCCCACAGAGGCTCATGCTGGGCTGGGTGGCCAATGTCCCCACAGGCATGGCAGGACCCCAACGTCCCCGTTGGCAAAGCAGAGCTCAGTGTCACCACGGGAACAGCAGGACTCAGTCACTCGTGGGCACAGATGAATCCCATCATCAGAGCAGGACCCCAATGTCTCAATGGGCACAGCAGACCCCAGTGTCCCCATCAGCACAGCAGTGCCCCTTTGTCTCCATGGGCACAGCAGATCCCAGTGTCCCCATCAGCAGAGCAGGACCCCAATGTCTCCATTGGCACAGCAGGTCCCAATGTCCCATGGGTACAGCAGGACCCCAGTGTCCCCACTTTGCTTGCAGCCACTCTGGCTATGGGGACAAAGGCTGAAGGCATGGTGGCAGCAGGGGGGTCCAGCAGACAGATGGTGGCCGTGTATCCGTGGGGCCGGGCCCAGTCGGTCCCTCGCAGCCTTCAGTCACGCCGCCGGCCCTCTCGCGCCCTGTCCCTCCCCGCTGGCTCCCCGGCCCTCCTGCCCCGCTGCTCGCCCCGTGGCAGCCCCCAGTTCCTCCGGCCGCTCTCCTGCCGCTCGGCTCTGCCCGCTCTGCCCTTGCTGCCATCCCTGCGCTGCTCATCCTTCTCCCACCGGCTCTCCTTCCCCTCACGGCGTCTCTTCTTGTGTTGCTGCTGCTCGGGCTCCCTGTGCGCCCGGGGGGCTCTGGGGGGCTTCTCCTCAGGACTCCTGTCCTTGGGACGCGGCTCCCGACGGCTGCTCCTCTCTGCTGGGGCTGCGCGGCCCTCCTTGGGCCTCTCCTCCTTCTTTGGGCCACGCGGTCTCTCCTCCTTCTTCTCTTCCTTCTCCTCTTCCTCCTCCTCCTCCTCCTCCTCCTCCTCCTTCTCCTCCTCCTTCTTTTCCTTCTTCTCTTCTTTCTTTTCTTCCTTCTTCTCCTCCTTCTTTTCTTTCTTCTCTTCCTTCTCCTCCTTCTTCTCTCTCCTCTCTTCCTTCTCCTCCTTCTTCTCTTCCTCCTTCTCCTCCTTTCTTTCCTCCTTCTCTGGGCCTCGAGTTTTCTCCTCCTTCTCCGGACCTCGAGTCTTCTCCTCTTTCTTCTCTGGGCCCCGTGGTTTCTCCTGGACCTTCCTCAGCTCCACTTTGGCTGTTGGCTCCTGAGGTTTCTCTGTGGGCTCTTCCTCCTCTTCTCCAGGCTCTTCCTCACGTCCCGGCTCCGAGCGGCCAAACCACTTCTTGAAGATCCAGGGCTCGGCCTGGGAGACAGCGGTGTCACACACTTCATGCCCTCTCCATCCCTCCCATGGAGGACCACAGAGCCATTCCGGTTGGAAAAGACCTCTCAGATCCCCAAACCTGACCCCTGCCCACACCCACCATGCCCACTGACCATGAACCCAAGTGCCACATCTCCATGGTTCTTTAACACCTCCAGGGACCATGATCTCCTCTGCACCAGAGGATGCTGTCCCCCCACCTTCAGCCCCATACCAGGTTGCTGTCCGCTTCGTCATCATCGTCACTATCATCGTCACCATCATCATCCTCCGGTATGCTGCTCTCAGGCGGGACAGGCTGTGGAGCCACCACCTCTGGGACCTCCTCCTTGGGGATAATGACCTCTGGGGATGGAGAGCAATGAGCCACAACCCAAGCCCTACCCTACCCCTAACCCTAAAACCCCAGCAGCCTCTTGTGGAACCCACCCAGCTCCGAACTCACCATGGATGGGAGCTGCTGGGGGCTCTTGCTTGCCACTGCTGACACCGTCCCTGGGGCATGGTGGAGCTGGAAGAGAAGAGGGGAAAGAGGGCAGGGGATGGAGGTGGCAATGTTGAGGTGCAGCCGTCCTGGCAGCACAGGGACAGCGCTCACCTTGGAGCACCTGGAAGCTGACGCTGAGCAGGGCGACGATGGAGGCCACCAGGATGCACTTGTTGAGGGTGAGCCCTTCCCAGATGAGTGGCTCCTCCGTGGGGTCCAGGCTGTGGGGCTCCACTTTTGCTTTCACGGGGAGGCTCTTGGGGACTGGGAACCCAAAGGAACTCAGAATTACCAGAGGTGGACCCTGACACCCCCTGTGCAGCCTCACAAGGGTTGCATCAAGCCCCGTGGGGTTCATAGTGCAGAAATGGGGGGTTCCATCCCCAACCCATCACCAGATGGTGCCCGTGGGCTGCCTGGGGACATGGGACAGTGGGGCAGTGTTGGGGTTGATGAGGATTTTCCATGCACTCCTACCTGCAGGCACCGCGGCGCTGCCCTTTGCTCCCACCTTCTCTGCACTTTTCTCACGCTTCTTTTCCGTGCTGTGCGACGTCGGCTCAGGCATGCTCAGCTCAGGGACGTCCAGCTGCTGCTCAGGGACACCACACCGGGTCCCCACCTCCTTTAGGCCCTGTGCAAACAGGAGCAAACGTGGGTGCATGCGCAAGGTCAGGTGGGATGGGGGTCAGCTGCGTGAACCCTCCTAGAACCAGAGCCAGAAATGCTGAATGAAGCTGGGGATGAGCGGATGGAACCAGCCCCTGTTTGCAGTCCTGGTGGCTACTAGGGCCAGGCTGGAGCTTTGCTAGCTCCTCCCTGGTGCCTGTGTCTGTATCTCTGAGCACGTTGGGATTTGATTATCTGCTAAGATGGGTTTCACCACTAGCTGGCTCCTTGCTGCAGTGTTGGGCTGCGCCTGAGCAATCCCAACCCTTGTGGGATCCGCCAGATGGGCCCCACTACGGGGACAATGCCTGGGGTCTGGGTTCGGTGCTGGCTGCCTGCTGCCCTGTGTCACAGTGCTGGATTGGTGCCACAAGTGAGAACTGCCACTCAGTGACAGCAACAGCTGGGCCATGAGGGCTGTGCTTCCTGCTCCCAAACTCTGCAGGAAGGACCTCTCTGCTTCCCAACCTGCAAACCTCTCCAGGATGTGCACCTGAGGATGCCCAAACGCTGACACCAGGGCAGGATGCAGATCCCAGCCCACCACCACTACCAGCTCCTGAGGGTGGTGCACTCCATGTCAGGTGGATTGTTTTGTGCTGTTCCATGCAGGCTGGGAACAGAGCAGCCCCTGGGCCATATACCACAGCCCTACACAGACACAGGGACTGTGCCCCTCATCCCCAGTTTCAGGAGCTGGTCTCACCCCTTGGCTGAGTCGGCGAAGGTTTTTTCCCAGTAACCCTCTCCATGACCCTTTGTAAGCCCCGATCCCACGACAGGAGGGTCTCAACTCTTGTCCAAACCCACCAGGTTGCAAGGTGGAACCACAGGTGTCAGGGTCCCAATCCCGTCCTGCACCCAGTTTAATCACTGAACCATCCAGTCTTCATCACGGTTGGTGCAAATGGGAACTGAGACACCGCCTCCCTGTCCCGATGATGGACCCAAAGGCACCAGCACACTTACAATCTATGGCTCTCCCCACCGCTGCTCCCCGGCACATCAGCACCTGCAGAAGACAAGCAGAGCGTGGCACTCAGTAGGATGCTCACCTTCCTGGGAGAGATGAGGGGGACAGTGGCCTCTGTGCCATCACCCACATGGGGACAATCAGCCTGGTGGGCACAACATCACCCCAAAAGCACCACCCCAAGGCCGTGGGCTTCCGGGATCTGCACATCCCATCCATCATCGGGAAGAGGAATTTCTGCCCCATCTGAGCCAGATTTAGTTTATTTTTCCCTGGTGGAACAATGAATGCTGAGAAAAAAAAGCACCAATTCCCAGGCTGGAATCTAAAACACGACATTGGAAGCAACACAAATAATGATGAGCAAACTCGGTGGCTGAGAAGCAATGGCTTGAAAGATCTTGGCTTTCGACATGGCATCAAAACAAGACTTCTGGTTCTGTTTTAGTTACCTCAGTGAAGGCAAGCTGGCCTGTGCTCCCCTGAGAAGCAGAGCATCTATTGCCCAGAATTGGATTTTGGGGGTCCCTCCCCAAGCTTGTGAAGTCTTCTCCATGGCGAGGTGACGGGAAAGTGGAGGTGGTAAGCGTGGTCCCCAGGGTTCATACTGGATCATCTCCAAAGCCAGTGCCCCAGGCACGCAGCCACTGCCCAGCAGAGCATGGCAAAGACAGCCACATGGCAGAGACAGCCATGTGGGACAGGGACGGCCACATGGCATAGGGACATCCACACGGCAAGGATGGCCACATGGTAGGCACGACCACCAATGCCAGGGCTGCCACCACACAGCCCATTTCCAGCCCTCATCTTGCAGTGACTCCTCTAATGGGGTAAGGCTACCTCGTGCATGAATGCTGCATCCTCTCCCACGTGCTCTGCACTCCAGGTCTTTTCAACACACACAGTTATGGCCACAGATGAAACGTGGCCCCGTTTTGCTGTTGCTTGGACTTTTCCTGAGCAAGCCCAAGTTGTGAGAGCCCGCGGTTGCTAACTCATGTCAAAGAAATGGCCAAAAATAGCCCCTTGCCCGCCCTGCCATCCCTGAGCACACTCACATGGCCACATCAGGATGGGTCCCATTGCCCTCATTGTGCCATGGCCAGCACGGCACCACATCCCCCTGGCCGTGTGTTGGGCTGCTGCCCACCCTGATTCAATAAAAAAGGAGAAAATCAACACAAAGCCATACCTCGGGCTGAGCACAGCCGCCTCGCCTCCAGCCTGCGGTCCGGCACAGGCAGTGTGCAGTAATGTACAGCAACAGCTGCTCCTGCACCGAGCAAAATAGCACCCAATCACCGGGGGCTGCAGCGCCCAGAGCTGCCCCCCCAGAAAAGGCAGTGTGGCACAGGGCTGACCCCAAACCTGGGGCTGTGGCTCTGCTCCCTGAGTGCATCCCAGCGGTGGGGCTGCAAGGGGATGGGGTGTCTCCTTTTTGGGCAGCAGGAAAGGAAAAGCAGCTCTGCTGGTGGGGACAGCCTCAGGTAGGAGCCCGCCCTCCCAGTGTGCCCCCATTGAAGTGGCACCACGTGGCATGTGTCGTGTCCTGCCTTGAGGACACCTCTTCGGATGTTGCTCTGGAAGGGAGAAGGGCTGAGAACCCAAAGCTGCAACACGTCGTTTTGCAGCACTGACATTTGCCTTCAGCACAGGTTTGATATTTCATCCATTGCAGGATTCACAGGAGGGACAAACCAGACACCGGCACCTCTGGAGCCCCAGACAGCAGGAGCCGATCCCAAACAGAGCTCCAGGGCTCCGCAGCCAGATTGAAGCCACGCGGTCTGTTTCCTATTAACAGAATCAAAAACAACTTACAGAGCATTTTTTCCCCCTAACATCACTTCAGCTTGACGCAGCTCTGTTTTTCTGACGCCGCGATGATGGATGGCATGGGCTGGCCCCTGCCCAAGCTTGGAGGACTCCCAGGGTTTTATGCACATTGGGACAGGGAGGAAACCTGCACGGTGCCCAGCATGAAGGCTCGCCCTCCTCATCCTCTTCCTGGGGAGCTCCTATATACCCCAAAAAGGATAACTAGCATCCTCCTCCTGCATGCTGGGAGCACTCTTGGCCACGGGGCGTCAGCCCACGGTCCTGCTTTAGGACCATGCAGCAGACAGGAGCAGCCGTCTGCTTTCCAGGGCAGGGATTTCCCGGCTCTGGCAGAGGCAGGGCTGAGCACGCAGTGAACCCTACTGCAGTATAAATAACCTTCTGCCGAAGCCGAGCCCAGATGGAGGAGAGCTGTGCTGTAAACAAAGCCCTCCCCAACGCGCCAGGGCTGCGGGCGCGTGCCAAGGGTATATTTCTGTTTTATTCCCACTCCAGTAGGGTCAGGCAGTTAGCTGGCGAGGCACGCTTGCTTTATAGGGGCAAAGTGAAAGCAGAGCTGAATAACAACCCCTTCTGCTCCCAGCTGTGTCTCATGTGGGGCTCGCAGGTCTGTCAGCTTGCTGTGTTCCCCTGATGTCAAACTCATCCTCCCAGGACACGCATGCAGAGCCCAAGCAAAACTTCTTCCCACTCATCCTGGTGTGGGACCATGGGACAGGGACTCTCCTGCACATTCAGGGCCTTCTCAGCTTGTTTCTTGCAGCAGGAAGGGACCAAGAGGTGTTTCATCCCCAGTGTTCAGTTCTAACTCAGGCAGATGGAGGAAGGAAATACCCAGAGGTAAAATCTTTCCTAATCCCTTGACTTCCCCACCAAATCCCAGCTTTTCCCTTGCCCTGAGGCTCAGAAAAGGGGTTTTGGTTGGTACCCAAGACGCAGCTTCCAGTTGTGCTGCAGCAGCCCTGTGCTTCTATAGCAACGCTCTCCCATCTTCCCAGTGGGATGTAATCTCCTTCCTCCCCATCCTTAATAACTTGTGCTTAAAAGACAGCTGCTAAGACATGAGGTTGGCCCCCCGTTATCTTCAGACTTGGGTTTAAGGGAAGTTGATGTTGTCTGTAGTCAGAACTGAAGGACTACGTGGTCCGTGAGTGCAGCCAGCGTCGTCCCCACATCATGCCCTCGCACAGCCATGGGGTGATGCAAACAAATGGACACCATCTTCATCAGGGAGTTCTTGAGAAGTTACAGGAAGCAAAGAGACGTTTTCTGTCTGCCAGCTGTGCCTCTCCCGTCAAATCACACTTCTCTCATCACCAATGATTTGAGATGAATCAAGGCGAGCAATCTCCTTGTCTCGGTGCCATTAATTGGAAGCCCGCAGCGTTTTGGAAGCAAGATGTTCCTGTGGCTTTGTGCCACCAGGTGTTACTGTGGGATTGGGTAATGCTTCCCGACACGGAGAGATCCAGTGAGAAATGGAGCATCCTAAGCACAAGCTGATGCCCACGGCTGGTACCAAATGGGCCCCTCTGCCCTCGGTGATCCCATATGATCCAGAGCAGCTCTGCGCTGTCTGATCGCACCCTAATCCACGTGTGACCTAAATACTCCGATTTATGAATCCCAGAGGTTTTCACTCCATTTGCCTGGCAGAAGGAGCAGCATTCAGGTCAGCTGGAACACGAGGTGCCAGATCCCATTAAATGCCACTTTTAGTCTCAGCTTCATTTGATAATTGTTCCATTATACGTTTTCTCACAGCTCAGTGCTGCTTGGGGCTAATCGTTATTCTCTTTGAAGACTCCAAGCCATCTGTAGCTCTGAGTACAGCATGAGCAAGCAACTGCTGGGACACGACATCCCAAACAAAGCATCCTTGAAGGTGCTGCCTGGTGACAGGGACAGGTCCCACCAGACACCTCATCCATGCCATGGAACAAGGAACAGCACCATGTGGTGCTGGTGGGACCAGGAACTCATTTCAAGAGCAACCAGCTGTTCCCCATTTCTCCTTTCCTTTATTAGATAAGAAATTCCAAGTTAAAAGTCAGTAGAGTTCAGAAATCACATGCAAATCTCACGTGCCAGGCTGTGCTCTCCTGCCTGCTCACTACTTGTTTCTTTGTTTCTCTGTGATAGTGGAAGAAGGCTGGAAAGGCTTGATTTCCACTTTCTTTGGCGTCAGAAAGGACCATGATCATAGAACCATGGATGGTTTGGGTTGGAAGGGGCCTTAAAAATCACAGAACCATATAATATGGTTGAGTTGTAAGGGATCTCAAAGATCATGGAACCACAGAATGGTTGGTTTGGGTTGGAAGGGGCCTTAAAGGTCATGGAACCACAGGCTCCATCCCACATAGCTGCCTCTGAAGGGACCTGCATGACCTCCAGCTGAGGTTGAAGTGCTGCAGTGGCTTTTATGCTGTTTTCTCCCCAGTGTAGCACAGTAACATGACTAGCAGGGCTTGCACTGACCACAAACCCTTCTCTTTTCACCCCAGAGGAGCCAATCCATCTCAGTATCCCACCTGCAGCTAGGGATAGCTTAGGTTGGGCTCCATCTCAGGAAGAAAACCCACAGCACAGAAGCCAGGAGTGGGGTTTTGGCCACGGCAGGACCTTGAAGCTCCCCACAACAGGAGATGGATGCGCAGAGCCCATCCCAACCACAAGGTTCCTGGCATTGCTGCTGTGTTTGAAGCATGGCTGCCCTCGAGTGGTGCCTCAGGAGCACAAAGGATCCCTGAAAGGATGCACGTCCACACCATGGCTCAAGGATTCCATCCCTTCTGTCCCTCCTCCTGGCCCCATATGTGCGGTGGGGGAGCAGAGCCAGCTGAGGCTTCTTGCTGTGTATTTTTTTTTCCTGTTCTAGGAAAACACAAACAACAGCCTGAAGGAATTTCCTCCTCCAGCCCTGAGTCAGGCCCCAAATTGGCTGCTTGAAATCGCGAGGGTTTTTTTTTCATAGGAAGTAGTGCAGCAGCACTGGGCACAGCAGTCCCCATCTCTGAGCCCATCACGAGGCAGTGCTGGGCAGTCCTGGGGGAAGGCGGGCAGCTGGACTGGGTGTTCTTAGAAGTCTTTTCCAACCCTAATGATTCTGTGATTCTAACGATGACTTATTCTTGAGATCTGGGGATTTTAAGAGCAAAAGAGAGACAAGCAGAAGGCACTACTCTTTAATCACC